ACTAAAAACAAAAAAATACAAAAAATAAAAACTCAATTTTTAGAAAACTGAAATCAAATACACTGAATGTTATCTATATACAAATATTTTATTTGATTTTTTAATCACTAGACACATAAGTGGTGATAGTAAATTCGTTTTTATGTAACATTTTCTTAAGAATTGAATTTAAATGTGTAAAACAAAGAAATGTAGGGCCTATATCATTATAAAAGTGATACTAATGTCTTTGATCCAGGGATCTAAGCACTACAAGAAGAGTCATTTTTGGCGACTAAATTTTTAGTCGCCAAAAGTCTGTTTTTAGTCGCCGAAAGTCGAAATTTGATTTTCCCCGACAAAATTCTTTAGTCGCCACATTTGTCGCGTATACGTTGTCGGCGTAGGCATTGGCGACTAATATTTTTTTAGTCGCCAAAAGACAGGTCTTTCGCGACTAAAACGTTAGTCGCCAATAGTGTTTTAGCCTTTTGAAAATCATACATTTACCGACTAATAATTTAGTCGCCAATACTCAATCAATCGCCGACTAAACGGCTTAGTCGCCAAAATAAAGACTTTTGGCGACTAAAATATTAGTCGCCAAAGGTGTTCCGTCAGGAAAAAAAAAAACCCACTTTTTTTTGGTTTTTCTGAGTTTCGAACTGTGCCCAACCATCCCACATTGCAACCTTTTTTGCAACACACTCCCTCCACTATGCCACTACAACATCACATGAATATATTTGCAATATATATTATTTATATAATATATTGACAGTATTAATACAAAACAATATATATAAATATAATTATTTTAATTCAATATAATTTATGTAAAAAATAAATTATTTATTAAAAAAAATTTTAGGCCACTTTTGGCGACTAAATCCATTATTTAGTCGCCAATTCTATGATTTTTGGGCTACTAATTATTTTTTTGTCGGTAAAAAAACAAGTTGAAATTAAAAATAGTAGTTTTGGCGACTAAATCTGTTTTTAGTCGCAAAAAACGTGTCCTTTTGGCTACTAAACTGAATTTTAGTCGCCAATTCACTGTTTTTAACTACTAATTTTTTTTTGTAGCCAAAAACCTTCATTTTCAGCGACTAATCTTTTTTTAGTCGGAAAAACACCTATAATCGGCGACTAATTTTAGTCGCCAAAACCATCACTTTTGGCTACTAAATTATTTTAGTCGCCAAAAATCGTCACTTTTGGCTACCAAAAAACCTTTAGTCGCTAAAACCCCTACATTCTGTGACTAAACTGCCTTTTAGTCGCTAAAAGCCTGGTATTCGGCGACTAAACTATTTTAGTCGGCAAAAGGGTGCAATTTTGGCGACTAAATCCATTTTAGTCGCCAATTATACAACTTTCAGCGACGAAAAATGAATTTTTAGTCGCCAAAAATGCTTTTTCTTGTAGTGAAGATTTGAGTTTTGAGGGAACAAAAACACATGTAATTTTTCATCAAAAAATTTATTATAAAATTTTAAATTTTGATTTATACTAGCACGAGAAAAATGAATAATATTATTATTAATCGCACATTTTTTGTTAACATAATTAAGAATACAAATATAATTAGACAGATTTCTTGTTTGTATTAACTTAACAAAATATTAACTCTTCCTATATCTCCATCTACTAAAGTTAACTATTTGAAAATGTTGTAATCACCACTTTTAATAATATATATAAAAACATCTATGATAAACTCGGCATCAAGACCTTAATGAATATCTTTCTTAATAAATATGATCAAGTAATTTGTTACAAAATCATTTTTTATTTTATTACGCAGTTTAGTTTTGAAAAAAAAAATTATAATTGAAAATGTATGTTTTTATGAGAATAATGATAATTCGTTTCAATGAGCAGTATTAAATTTTATAAATTTATTTTAAGCATGTCATGTTCAAGTAGATAAAATTTTTACTTTTAGACAATATTTCTATTTCTAGAGAATGAACAAATAAGAATGAATGTAAAATAAGATGCATAGGAAAATTAAAATATGATTTATAAAAAAAGAAAAAAAAAACATAAATGACATATGAAAAGAAAAAACAAGAATAATAACAAATAGAAACAAATAAAAGAATACAAGGAACTTTAAACAATATATAAAACATAATAAATAGAATATATCAATATTTGATAAAATTGAATTTAAATACTATTTTTGAAATTTTGTAATGTAAATAATTTGAAGGGTGCGAACTACTCAAATTTAATATTATCTTACTAATTACTAACATAATATACATAATTTTTAAACATTTTAAGGGTGCAACTGTCTCTGCCCACATCCCCTAGATCCATCATTGCTTTGATCAACATGGTAAGTAATAAACTTTTCTTAATTTATTTATTTTCAAATTTTATTATTTATTTATTTTGTTGTGAACTGGATAGGACTAAAGTCTCTTTTGAAACAAACACCTAATTTAAAGTTGTAACTAGGGATGGACAAATTAACCATTAATTCCATAAATTGAATAAATTCGGGTTTCAATTAGATTTGATTCGATTCTTGAAGGACGGTTAGTTTTGAGGCCAAAACTAAATAACTTGACGGGCGTGGTTTCAAAGAGGTGAACGTGGCTGCATGTTTGTTGCAAGGCAAGAAAATAGTGATGACAATTTGTTAGATAAGGTGGCATGTAGTGAAGACGAAGCATATGCTTTATACAATATTTATGCATGATGAATGGGTTTTAGTATTCGGAAAGGAAAGCCAAGATATTATAGTGGATCAAAGAACATAAGGCAACGTGAATTTTTATGTTCTAAAGAAGGTTTTAAAATAGGTGAAGACCCTTGTGAAGAAAAAGAATTGAAAAGGCTGGAGACTAGAACTGGTTGCAAAGTATTTGTTCGTTTAACTGTTGAAGATGGAATTTGGAGGGTTGCTGCCTTCAATCCTAAACATAATCATGAACTTGCATTACAATCAGAGCGACATTTGCTACGATCTGCTTGTCACTTTTCAAAACTAAAGGCAAGTGTGATTGATTTTATGGTAAATTCGGGTATAAGCACAAAGAATAATGCTTATTTATATATAAGAGAAGAAGTTAGAGACAGTGAGAATGTGGGTTTTACCAAAAGGGATTGTTATAATTATGTGAACAAGCAAAAGATTATGATGATTAGTGCTGGAGATGCTCAAACCCTGGGGATCGACCGGCCTATCAACTGGCCCTGTTTTGTGAATTTTATTTTTTTGTTGCACTTCCTTTTTCTGTTGCACTTCCTTTTCGCACCATTGGTAAGCTCACACTGAAGTTTAGCACCTCTAAAATCCACTATTCACATTTAACACATTCCCAATCAAATTCAACATATATTCACCAATAAACAATTTATATTATAAATCAAAATATATCCATCAAACAACTTTAATAATATAAACCATTAAGTATAACACAAAAACCACCAAAGCAAATCCCAAAATGAACTAATGTGGAATTCACAAAAAAAAATCAACACTCAATCTTGATTTGCAACTACAACTAAGTATCAATTTAGGAAACAAAATTCAACAGTTGATCTTCGTTTGCAAGTATACTTCCAAACGTCATCAAAAACCAATCTGCAAAGAAAATAGACAAAGAAAACATTAATATATTATCAATTACATCTAAACTCATATATAAATACTTTTATTTTATAAACCAATTTAGTAGAAATGCATCTAACAAATCAGAACTTCAAAGAGTTGAGGTGATCCTTGATGATAAAGCAACACGGATAACATAAGATGCCAAAAGATTGCAAGAATACCATATATCACTATCACTAATGGCTCAATATATATATATATATATATATATAATAGCTCCAAAATATAACGTAGCATTGAGGTACATTTGATTCACGACAATGGGTTTTTCATGCATGTGGGGTTCTAATCTTTGAAAACAACCACCAAATCTAATTCTCTCTCACAAGTTAAAAATCAACAATCAAACTTTTGCATGCCAATCATAATAAATCATAGTCAAAAAATAAAATATGTATATTTTTCGTAATGTGTAAAGTGGTCTTTCCTATAAAGCAAAAGCCTCTTAGCAATTGATCCAACAAAAATCTCTAACTTCTCAGATCAGATTAACAACTTTTCTGCACAATGTGTCAACCATGAAATTCCCTTAGCTCTTATTTACATTGTTCGAAACAAGTGATCAATATATTGCACCAAAAGCAACAATTCAGTCAAGAGTAATTGAAAAATTTCTGCAAAAATAGGTGTATCTTCACAAAATAAGTCAAAACACATATTTCATTTAGTTAAAAAAAAAAAAAACCAAATGTTTCCTGTAGTTGCTCACTCCCAGAAGAATCTATAAACAGTCTGTCAGCAAAGATAAATTCTTGTACCAAAAAAAATTATCTTGAGTAACATGATATTGGCAATTTTAAAATTATGAACCATAATTGTGAGTGTTATGGATTCTGTACAGGTGTCATATTCTTGTAATTTACAATTTTTTTTATTTCATATTTTTGTAATTACATTTATATGCAGTGTATAGCATTATTGAAGCAGCAAATAGAATAATGATGCTAATCGAAATATCATTATTGAAGAGATTAATAGAAAAGAACCTGGAGAGTGAAAGTTGTGACTATAATTAAGAAAGCCAGGGAACCAGTTTCTAGGAGATTGAAGTCAAGATCCATATGTATACCCATTATCCATGCAACCACCACACATAAGGGAACCTGAAAATTGAACAAGTTAATTTAGTATTTAATTTATATATAATTTCATCTTGGGTTTTATTTACTTAGTTATTTATTAATTTCAAGTCTCACCACAAACATTGAAATTTGAGTTGCTGAACCCAAAGCCACCCCCAGTTAGATATCCTGCATGACAGAGAAAAAAAAATTAATAAAAAATTAAAAAATTTACTTGTCATATATTCAGAGAGACAAAACTATAAAGATAACATATTAAAAATACATATGTATATTTGTGACATACCAACTCATTTTTAAAAGCAAATATGACTGATCCAGCATGTTTTGCTGCATTCTCCACAATTGGTATCAATATTACACTGATAAAGCTAACGTAAATTCCCCATGGATCTGAAGCAACCTATTTTCATAAGAAATATTGATATCCATTAATTTAAAATGTTTATGAAACAGTTCTAAATAATATATATAAATAGGTCTGTAAGGAAGACTGCTAAACCCAAATGGATCCCATTTGAATCAAAAATCGGGTTTAAGCTCTTTGAGATTAAGTCTTTCTTCAACGACACATCCACCAATTATGCAAACGTCCCGATTACATTTCGCTTCGGAGCGGGGATTGAAGCTTGTGATGTATTGGCTATGAGAAGCTCTTACGAGTTCGAACCCGAATGGTTGAAACTCATGGAAGAGATTCACATGAAACCCGTTATACCAATCGGCCAATTGCCCTCTAGTGCGTATGATGATAGTTTCGATGAAACGTGGTATACAATGAAAGAGTCAAAGTGGCTTGACAAGCAGTCTAATAAGTCCGTGGTCTATGTTGCATTCGGAGGCGATACAAAGCCAAGTCAAACCCAACTTACAGAGATAGCTTTTGGGTTAGAACTATCCGAGTTGTCATTTTTTTGGGTTTTGAGGAATCGGCGTGGTGTGGATGACACTGAGGTGACCGAGTTACCAGATGGGTTCGAGGAGAGAACCAAGGAACGAGGAGTGGTTTACACTAATTGGGCGCCTCAACTCAAGATACTGAGTCATGACTCGGTTGGTGGGTTTTTGTCTCACTCTGGGTTGAGTTCGGTGGTTGAGGCTTTACAGTTCGGGCAGTCTCTCATTTTGTTGCCTTTCATGGCGGACACGGGGTTGATCGCTAGGCATTTGGAAGAGAAGAAGATGGCATGTTTGGTACCCAGAGACGACCGAGACGGGTCGTTCACAAGAAACTCGGTGGCTGACACACTGAGATTAGTCATGGTTGAGGAAGAAGGGAGGATATACAGGGACAAGGTTAAAGAGATGAGTGGGTTGTTTGGTAACAGGGCTATACAAGACAAATACGTGAATAATTTTGTGGATTACCTGAAGAAGCATAGACCAGAGCTAGCTCAAGAGGAATAAACATTGATGGCGATAAATCTGGGCCCACTGATTCTTGGACTTGCGATAAATTCGGGCCCACTAATCTTGGGTTATTGGGCCTAAATAATTTTAGTGGGCTCAAATTAGCCCCTCTTACACGTTTGAAATGAATATAAGTTATAAATTAATGTTTCACAATAAAATTTAGAATAAAGTTTCAGGAATTGCAGTATTATTGAAGGAATAAATGAAGTTACGATTGGTGTGTAATTTGTACTCAGTTTTTTTTCTTTTTACTATAAAAAAAAAAATGTAATAAGAGAATAATAAGTGACCTATTCACAATTTTAGTGAGAACTTCATTATATAGTGTATATTTGATTTGGGTGCATACCATATGTATATTTGATTTGATTTGGAGAAGTGTTTAGGTGTGTAAGGTGCATACTATGTACACTTACGTAAGTTCTTACAAATATACATAAGTTATAAAATTGTGTAAATTCTCACAAATATACCTAAGTTGTGATTTTTCAATTTTTATGGATTAATTTACGTATGTTTATAAAAACTTATGCGTTTTTGTAAGGTAATTTATATATATTTGTGAGAAATTACGTAAATGCATATGGTATGCATTTGCACACTTTACAATTGCTCATTTGATTTTGGTAATCAATATATTTACTTTAAAACAAATGTGAAGTCTAGTGGGCCCATTTCATAGATTTTGCTTTTGTAATAAGGAAATGATATACAATCTCACTTTTTAGATTCATTTTCTAGATTTAATGATATGTAAGTAAAATGATTGGTTGATAATATGAGAGAATATTATTTTTAATATCCTAATTGATTGTCACACATTACTGAGTTTGAAAATTAAGTCAATTTTTTTTTTTTTATTTTGAATAGCAATGTTGTTATAACAAACCCTGCGTATTGAAGCGTACAAAACCGAGATATGATTTGAGCCAAATAGCAATGCAATGTTCATCTTGACACCACATTTAAACAATTTGGAAAGTGAATTTCCTCACACCCCTTTCCAAAATGCAACTCTTCAAATCAATGTGATCGTAAGAGACATCACAATATCACTCAAATTAACAACCTTCAATGAATCCGCGAGTTGAGAGCTTATATTTTGGTCTTAGAATGGATTATTTGTAATTTTGTGTATTAAAATTCCCTAGGGTTCTCTCTCTTGAGTTGAAAGCTTCTCTTTCTAGAGATTTTTTATAACTTTTCACAGCAATGGGTTTTCATGACGTGTTTCGCCATTTTCGTAGAGATGACCACGAGGGTTGAAACAGAGCCAAGTCAAAGGGACATGAGAGGACCATGTTCTTGAGCTAGTTGGTATAGGTAGCTGTGTGGTGTTGATGAGTTAAAGATGATTTGGTGGAAGTTTCCGATGAAGGGAAGTCCTGGAGGACCTGGTGGCGGACGAGGTGTTTGTTCATTGTTGTTTTGTGTTTGATGAAGAAGAAATAATAGTAGAATTGGAAGAGCTAGAAGGGAAAGAAGAAGAATTGACATGGTTAGTTGAGTTGTTGCAAGTGTTTGCTAGATATGGTAAGGATGTGAGAAAGATAGTCCTCTTATAAACCTCTTCCAAGATCCATGTATGGAAAATGGAAAAAAAAAACTATTCAATTCCGCATTGCCACCCAAAACTGAGGACAAATTGTTTGGGCGGACAAAAATGTTATGACTATTAGATTAATTTTTTTTATTTTAAATTATTGATGATTTATATATTGAAATGTAAAAAAATAAACGAAATGTATTATAAAAGTGGGACTCGTGATAAGCCTCACAGTCGAGACTGGACGGTACAGTCCACTTTAGTATATATTAGATTGGAGAGGAACTGAGTTTTAAAATTAAATCTCAATCGCACATTAATTTTTTGGATATATTTTTAATTCTGTGCACATATATTTAGGCCTCGTTTGGGAACACATTATTTTAGTAATTTTTTGGCTTTTTGACTAAAATATGAGGTAAAAAAAAACTAGTATGTTTGGAATAACTTTTTGATTTTTTACGAAAAGATGTACAAACTCTTTGAAAAATCCTTTTAAACCTTTTATTTAGAGGTTTGGAGTTGAAGAAAATTGGAGGAGAGGGAAGAAACCTAGTTAGGGAAGAAGTTGGGCATAAACTGTTAAGAGAGAATCGGGCAGCCTTCACTAAATCAGGTCTATCCTTTTGTACACTTGGACTTAAGTTGTGAGGCCACCACCATTGGAAAGTGGACTTCCGGAGCTTCATTTTACACTCAAGAATCTCCTAAAGCCGAGTCCAGATGAGGGAGATATGGCTGGTTGAAGTTAGGCATCCATCCGATTAAGCCAAAACTGAGTGATCTTCACTAAAATAGGCATATCTCCTAGAAAACTTAGAATTTTGATATGAGGCCACTTCCATTGGAAAGTATACTTTCGGGGCTTCAATTTAGGCTCAAGAATGACCTACAAAAAAGTCCGGATGAAGGAGATATGCCTATTTGAAATCGGACCTAAAAGCAGATTTTTGATGGCCAACAATGCTTGACGGCCAATGGTGAAAAAAGGTAGATATTTTGTACCAATTGTCCCCTAAAAGCTCCAGCTGTCCGGGGCTTGGTATTTTTGACCTAAGGGGCTGTTTTTCTATATATAGAAGGCCTCTCTTCTTGCTTTCAAGGTTAGAAAACATTTAGGAGTGAAATATTTTTGAAAAAATCCTCTCTCTCTAGAATCCTCTCTCTCTACAATTCTCTCTCTCTCTTTTGCAAATTGCATAGCCTATTCCCAATCACACCAAAGCAAACCTAGAGAGCTTCTTGCTGAGGTGATTTGAGCTTGGATTTTAGCTCTTAAAGCACTTGATAGTGTGGAAATTAGTGGCTTATGGCTTAAGGGTTCACTCCTCTCTAAGTGGTATACTTTCTTTTGCCTTTGTACCATCTTTACACCATTTGTTTTCCATCTTTTCTTACTGTTTTTAAGCTTTTTAAAACCTTTTTTTATGTGCTGAAGCTTATGGTTTAAGGGTCTTAAAGGTAGAGGGGTTAATCACCTTTCTTTAAACCTTGCTCTCTAAGACTTTCCACTTGTGTTTTCCATTCTTTCATCAACTTTTTTTGAGCTTTTTGCCACTAATTTTCAGAGGTTTTCAGAGGCTAAAAAAGTGATTTTGAAGTCCCAAAAATGAAGGGATTAGCCACTCCTCCTTTGGCTTGTTTCTAGCTTAAATTGCCATGTTTTAGCTTATTATGTTAGGTACTTTTTGTCTTCATTCCAGCATGTTTGCCAACTGATTTTGGGCTATAAAAACTTTGTATTTTTTGGCTGAAGCTTGTGGTTTAAGGCCATTAAAGGTTGAGGGGTTGATAACCCTTCTTTGTACCTTGTTTTGGGGGCCTTTGCCCTTGTGTTTCCCACATTTACACTATCTATTTTTGAGCTTTTAAATACTGAATTTTGGAGTATTTTTAGTGGCTAAAAACTTATTTTGAGGTCCAAATTTGGAAGGGTTAGCCTCCCCTCCTTGTGTCTTGTTTGCATGCCTAGATAGCTCTACATGTTAGCATGTGTTTCTAGCTTAACTTAGCTCAAGTCCAGTATGTTTTAGCCTTTGAAATAACATGTTTTAGCTTTGTTTTGGGCTGGTTAGTTCGTTTGAGTCTTGTTTTGCATAGCTGTAGTGTAGCCCATTTCACTAGCTTAGTGTTTTAAGGCTTTAACCATCATTGGTGTGAGTTTATTGCATGTTTTAGTGCTTTTTCTACTTCATTTCAACACTTATATTCTCTGCAATCTCCCTCATTTCTTCACCTTTTGGTTTTTCTTTGAAAGTGGTTTCAAACCACTTGTTTGCCTAAGTGTGAAATGGAAGTGCTACACCTAATGGTTTAATCCCTTAGAGGGCTCATTACCAACAGTGTAATGCCTTTTTCATTCCCAAAGCAACTTGGGGTTTGAGCGCTCCTTCCATTAGAGGACACTCACTAATGGACTTAATGGATTAATGAATGATTTGGTAATTAAAATGAGTAAACAAAATTGGCAAGTAAAAGAGGCAAGATAAGCATTCTGTGTGTTGCATTGCATGTGTTCAAATTGGACGTTAGTTTGAACACGAGGAAAATGGAATATTTCATACTCAAAAGTGATGAAATGTGCCACTTTCCTTGGTCTCCATTGCCCTTGATCATGCATGATAGGGTGATGGTCTCTTTGGTCTCATTTTGCATTTATTGAACTTGCACATTTGGTTTCACAAGCCATCATGCAATGAAATTGCTTGATTGATGGTTTGTGAACCAAAGTTTGTCCCTCATTTGATTTCCCTATGAAAATGAGAGATAAAGTGTGCAAACAACTCTTGAGAAATATACTGTTTTGCACTGTTTTGCTCTGTTTTGCTCTCTATTGCAACAAGAAAGTTCAAACCAGCAGTGGCCGACAGCTACCACCAGTGGCCGACCAGCCACCAATAGTAGCCAATCGGCCACCATTGGTAGCCAACCGGTCCCCTGTCGACCACCAATGAAATTTGCACAGTGTGTTGGTAAGATGGAGCAGAGGTGTTCTAGAAGTGAGCAGCTTTGTTGGCGTTCATATGTGCAAACAGAGGCATTCAGCAACAAGGTAGTGGCTTTTTGGGTGAAAAATTGAGCATGCATGCCTCCCTCGCTCCCCGAGATTAGCTAATTAGTTTAATTAGCATTAGATCAAGTGCATGTTATAATTAATTAGTTGTAGCTAATTAAGTATTGTAAATAATTAGCTAGTTTAACTAGTTATTCGATTTCGGTTTGTAATAATTAGTTAACTGGAATAGTTAATAAGTTGCGGTTTGTAATAATTAGTTAGCTTAATTAGCGTAGCTAGTTAGTTAGCTTATTCATTCGGCCTCCTTTGTGCGGGTGTAATGTTGTAATAATTGTGCATGCGTGTGTGTATGTTTTCCAACCCCACGTCTTTTCTCCCTTTTATTTAATCGCTTTTGATAGTTAGATTAGGGACATGTTTTAATTAGCATAT